AATAGGGCTGTTGTGGGCGAAATAGCAGCAGCTTTAGGGCAAAAGCGCACTGACGTGTGAAATTACAGCCCATGGTGCTACATATTGTACCAGAAGCTCCTTCTCCCCCCCCCCCCCCCCCCCCCCCCCCCCCTCTCTATCTCTCTGCAAAAGGAAAAGAGGAAAAAAGGGGGGGAATGCAGAAACAACAGGAAGAATCGTCCTGAAACTCGTCCAGAGGGTGCGCAATAAGAACCAGATTGTTATGAACTCCATTAAACCTTTTAAATCACAACTACAGGTCAGTCGTGTGAGGTTAATAACAGAAAAAAAATAACCGTATACAATCAAATGCGGTTCAGAAACTAAAACCACACATGCTATATTTGTAAGGTTTTTTGTGAAATGAGGTAAAATACAGTTTCAAAAGTTGATTTTAGCCCAAAACGGCCTACCTGACTTTGCGCCTTTTAAAGTTGTCATGTTTTTCTATTGGTTTCCGGAAGAGATTATAGGCGAGCATGAGTCCCAGTAGTCTTAGGATCAACCTTTGACCCCGGCCTGCTTCAGCAGCTCCAGCCTGAACCTGCCCGGCCTGTTCGCTTCCCCTCAGCAGGCTGTCTCATACTGTCTGAGCGCCATCTACAGACCGCCGCTGCGCACAGGCCTTCAGTGAGGTGCTGATGATGTGATGATGATGATGATGATGATGATGATGATGATGATGGTGGTGGTGGTGGTGTTGGCCTACTGACTGACTGACGGACTGTGCCTCTTTTTCTCTCCAGGAAGTCAAAAATACTCTCACAAGAACAACTTGATGTTGGTAAACAGGCACTCTCATTTCTCCAGTGTTTATTTGGAAGCAGGGAGAAATGCCGGTGATCGATGCTGCCGCAGACCTCCCTGTGCGCCTCTCACGCGCACCTCATCAAACTAACTTTGAAGCAACGTCATCACTGCTTAATCATGGCTCCAATCTTTCCGAGCATAAATATATGAAAGATCCTCCCTGAGCAGCATTTTTTTTTTAATTTTTTACAAAAGTGGTGTGAGTCAAAGAGGCAGAGCGTTAAACAACACAACCTGTCAGTGCTGTACCTCTCTCCAACCCCCGCGCGCCTTTAATTTCCTTGATGCTTCACCCCCAAAGTCTCATCATTTCCCATTTCGTCTCCCTCCCCTTTTCCTGGCTGTCGGATGCAGGGACCTCCTCATTTGAGCTGCAGTTTTTTTTTTTTTTTTTTTTTTTGGTACGTGGGCGAATCACAAAGTGTTGGAATCTATTGCCTTTGTCTGACAAGTCATCCATCTCTATGCAAGGGGATCTGTGGGATGGAGGCATAGGAGGAAGGCTTGGCGGCGGTGGGGGTGAGGGTGTTCTGTGTTGGGACTGCAGCTTTTAGAAACAGACACACAACGAGAGGGGTTTCATTCTCAGCCCAAAGCTTCGCTCAGGCACAGCCCATTCCGGAAGGTGAGAGGAGGGAGGAGGTGGGGGGGACGCGCTGCCTCTCTGTCTCCGCCGTGCTGTTTGTTCATCTCCGCCCCTCATCTCATTAAAGCCCCGGCGGTCCAACGCGCCATCACGGAAGAAGGGATATTTTTTTAAAATAAAATAACTAAACATTTTTTTTCTTGCTGGTTGCAGTGGAGACTCAAGCTTTCTTCGTGATGTCCTTTTAAACACAGAGAGTGACCCGGGTGAAGCCAAATGTTGCTGCGGCTGGTGCGCTCTGCACACGCGTGGCTCATGCGCCGCACCTGACATGCTCTTCTTCTAGACTTGTTCCCAACAGGAGGAAAACTTCGCATCCCAGCTCCCCCCAAACACAAGAAGTTATCCCGAGCACTGCGGAGCCTCCACACAAGGACTGCTCTACAGCGAAACAGCTCTTTCCTTTTTATTTTGTCATTTCTTTTATCGTTTGAAGCTGCATCACCGAGGCGAAACGGCGACCTCAGTCGATTACCTTTCTTTCCTCTGCTATCCCATGGATATTCACTGCAAAGCAGACCCCTTCTCAGCGATGCACCGTGAGTATGCTGGATGAGTTTTTAAAACCAACATCAAACAGAAGCGGCTTTTTCAAATTTCAGTGCGTCAGGGGATGATTGGGAACTCCTTTACGCGTAAAAAAAGGGCAGTTAGAGCCTCTCAAAAACGAACTTTAGCATTTAGTTTATGTAATTATAATATAATTTTATATAGTATCTAAAATCAATGTGAAACCATCTATGAAAAACAGATGTTTTTTAAAGTTCATTTGAAAACACTTCACCAGATTTTTAAAAATATTATTGTACAATTAATTTATGGCATTTTAAAATGGAAACAAAAACTAAACATTTAAAAAGAGTAAAGCTAAATAACTTTTCAATTGAGTAGATGTTTCAATAAAAAAACAACCAACTTAAAAAAAATCATTAAAAACAAAACAATTTTGTTTCGTTTTTTTACCAAGATTTTATTGACTATAATTAGGTAGCCTGACCCTGCAGGAAGCAGCGTGGTTTATAAAGCTGTAAAAATGATAAACTCCTCAATTTGAATACAAAGCTTTTATTACCCGAGTAATAAGCTCAATGTGAAGAAAAGAAAAGAAAATAAACACGCTGTGGCTGCGTTATTTGCACTTTTCACCTTATACGAAGCGAAATAATTAGCGTTCAAACTGAAGCTGACGTTGTTCTCAATATTTCTTCAGTTTATTTTATTTTTTTTTATTTTTCCCCCCTCTCCATATGATATGGGTAAAGAAAACCCGGGACCCTGTGTTAATTATTTATCTGCCCTCATTGGCACAATCCGCGTTGGTAATATGAGTTATCAAAGCTTATTTGAATTATTTACAATAATTGTAGCGAGGAAAATGAAACAGGTGGAAACGTGACCCGTGCGCCATGTGTTGGGCTGCAAGTCGAGGAGATGAGCGTGGGAAACAAATGGAGCAAGGTGCAGGAACAGAAGAGTTTCTACTCACATTAGTTTATTTTAATTGAAAATATGGAAACATTAGTTTAGTTCTAGTTTGTTCATATATTATTATTATTATTATTATTATTATTATTATTTTGAAAACCCCCTTAGTCCCTTATGTTTTTAGGAATTTAAATGGAAACCATATAGATCACTTTCTAATTCACCTCTCAATTTTTGGGGGGTGCTTTAGACTGGAGGATCAATGGGGAAACAGTTGTAATGATCTAATTAATTATGGCAAAATTAAAAGCGAGTCCAAAAATCAATCTGCGCCGGTGTCGAGAATAGAGTCAAATTGATATCCATCTGCTCCCCCGGAATAAAGCGCATGAATGGGCAATCTGAGGACGCAGCTGATATCCTGCAGAGTGGCAGAGCCTACCCATATGGCTGTGGGTGTCAGGAGACTCCAGATCAGTGTGGGAGATGCTGCGAGGGGGGGCTGCTGAAATGATGCTGATGTTTTAACTAATAAGCTGGTGGTGGTGAGGGGAAATGCGGAGCACTTTCACCATTTTGTTTTCTTCATTTAAAACTGGCTTTTTGTTAATGCCCCAAACCTCAATATTTTTTAATTATTTTAATGTCCTGATTTTGATCAAATAAAAAATTAAAATGACAATAATTCATAAACATGGATTCAGTGGCCTAAATCTGTCAAATACTAAATAAAACATTTCTATAGTTATTTTTTTAAATTGTATTTTTTAGTTGGCAACTTTTTACAAACAGAACTGTTTTGAAATGTGTGATACATTATTCTGAATCATGTTAAAAGGGACTTCAGAGTTTTGGGGAGGCCTCAACAACAATTGAACAACAGTATGGTTGTTGAAATCCTCGTGCGTCACAGCCCACGTTTCATTGGTCTTTCTTTGACTTTTGTCCTATCTGGAGTCCGTCTTCTGAAATATATTTGTCATTATTATTATCATTAAATGGCCTATATAAATTAAAGATGATATGTAAGCTTATTTTTGAGTCAATCAGATAAGTGTAACATTTGTAGCATTTTATTAAAAAAAAAAAAACACGTGAAACCCAAAACTATTTCCAAGCGTCTTTTTTTTTTTTTTTTTGGCACAAATCAGGCTAAAAATCGGAATAAATAAATACATTTAAAAAAAATCGTACCAGGTCCTTGTTGGCTTGCACTTTTTTTCTATGTTTTAAGAGGCTGAAGTCAGGGACTAACAGCTTCTTAATCATCGCGCCGTTTGTTTTGCTGCAGCGCCGTGACACCGGGACGTCATTGTGGCAGCGCGCGCAGAGGTACGGGGGGCAAATAGGGCTGTTGTGGGCGAAATAGCAGCAGCTTTAGGGCAAAAGCGCACTGACGTGTGAAATTACAGCCCATGGTGCTACATATTGTACCAGAAGCTCCTTCTCCCCCCCCCCCCCCCCCCNTCAGCTTGTCCCAACAATCTGCGGATATTAAAGTTTTTTTTATTATTAATTAATTTATTTATTTGCCAAAAAGTCCAAATGCTGTGAGATAGCTAATATTTTGAAATATATTTTTTTCCAGCCATCAGAAGGCATTTCAGAGGTATTTCATGTCACACACACTGAATGTTTTTTTTCTCACCAACATCTCCCACTATGGTAGCATGTCGTGCATGCTACTAGAGACTGAGATAAAGTCCTAAAACTCTGCTCCTACAGCTAGCTTTGCCTTTTTTAAATAATTTTTTATTATTGGTTCTGTGCGTCTCACTGTTTCAGTTGAATAATTTTCGTTGAAAACCCCGCTTTCTTTTTTTTGTTCGCCTTCCAGCTGACACTCAATCAGCGCACCACCACCACCACCACCCCCTCTCCATACACAACAACACACGCCCGGCCCAATTAATAGATTAACGCCGCCGTCATGTTATAATTCTTTGCAGTAAAATGTGCAGAAAGTCAATGGAACAGACGCCATTAAAGCCAACCCCTCTCCCTCCCCCCTCTCCCTTCATTGATCATATATGATTGACTTGCTTGTTAAATCCAGGCCGGATCCATTCAAGAACGCTCACTCTTGTCCCCCACGCAGGTACTATGAAACCGGCAGTATTAAGCCCGGAGTTATCGGTGGCTCCAAACCAAAGGTGGCGACTCCGAAAGTGGTGGATAAAATTGCAGAGTACAAACGCCAGAATCCCACCATGTTTGCTTGGGAGATAAGAGACCGACTACTTGCTGAGGGCGTCTGCGACAACGACACGGTCCCCAGTGTTTCATCCATCAACAGGTAGGTGGAAATCACTTCTTATTATTGTGCCAATGTGCGTAAAAAGCGCGCAAATCCTCGCTGGAACAAGCGACTTTCTCGTTATGAAATTACAGAAAAAAAAAACAGTGCTGCGTAAAATGGGGCCATATCATGACTAGAATAGGTATTCACTCTTCAAGGCTTGACCTATAATTCCAGCCGAGCCTATCCGCGCGGGGGGTGGTCTCTCGCACGTGCAATTCAATCTCCCTCCCTGGCGCGGCCCTCCTCAGCACCGTGAGCGCGGAGAGCCAAGAGGCAGAGGGAGGGGGGAGGGGGGGCACGAGGACTCACATCTGTCCCGATAAAAACCGATCGATAGCTCGTAACCAGATCCAGAGGCAGAAGGAAATACCCAACAAAGCCGCTCGATACGCGGACCACACTGCGGCGTCTTCATTCTGAGCCAAATCTCCAACACGGAGCAGAGCTGTCA